ATTCTCAAGACTAATCAAAATTTTCACTATAAAAAAAGACTGCTTACAATTTTAGTTTTGTTTATAAGTACGTTTCCGAGACTACCAGATGATCATATATATGAGATTTATTCACCATGTGCTGTTAAGGGGATGAAAGACTAGTAGTGCAATTTTCCCACAATTAAATGAGCAGGCGTTGTGTTTCCATTGAATTTTGCATAGCTGGATTGTTGATAAGACCCAAGCGAGGTCGAAACTGCAGTCCACTTTGGATGAGAATCTCTCATGGGGAACAAGATTATGTTAAATTTAATGGAAAATAATGTCTATCCATTTCATTGTGAAAAATTCAAATATCAGTCCTCATCACCTTAACAAAATATGATGAATACATATCTTATTTTTGTATTTATAGTATGAAATTCATTTTTTCTGATCCGTTACTGTACTTTATCTATGTAAAGTTTGAATAAGCACTCGTTAGTTTCAAATCTCTTAATCGCCCTTCGGAGTAAGGGTCTACTGGACGCGCGTAAAGTGAAATTATAAAACATTTTCTGACACTTGCCTACTTACTTTCACACTCATATTATTCACATTTTGATCTTCAGACACAGCCTATCGGGTCTACTTCACTCGATTAGTTCGGCTCCGCAGTCGACAGCTTCGAGGGCGCCGCCAAGTCTATCGTCTCCTAACAGACCTCCTCTCTTCGACCTCATTTTCCTCACTTTTTCGAACTAAACAATCGAATCATTTGAGAGTGGCTCATCTGGCTGGTCCTTATTGGCTGGCTGGTCTTCGGGACCATGCCCTTCTTGGCCTGCCGGAAGCCTTGGCCAGTCAGGTGCATGCTCCTTCACTGGTTCTGGTTGGCGGCCCCTCTTTCTCAGCCTCTGCCAATGCCACATCTACAGCCTCAGCAGCCTCTAGCACAGCCTTTCATGCACAGCATATGGCGGTTTCGGCATCAACTACCTCTGCTGCCACGGCTTCCATTCTTACTCCCATCTCTTTTGAGCCAACCGCCCTCACCAATGCCAGTGCCCGTGGTCTTGATCGAATACGCGGTCTCTACCAGCGCCATTGGCCAGTGCTGTTGCTGGCCACAGCTCTTTGGCTCGATGCTGAAAGCTGGCATCCTCGTGGTCTTCGTTTCCCCGTTCAACTTTCTCAGTCGTCTTCTGCTTTGGCCAACGGTAGGGAGGAAACAGCAGACAACGATGTGGGTGTCACTGATACCTCGTCGGCTATCGACAGCGGAGAGGCAGACGTACACGCAGCACTAGGGGCTACAGCATTTGCTGCCCAGGATCGTCAGAACTCTGAACGATTTTTCCTACTCTTGGGTACGTGATTATCATTTTCATAGATTTCCCCTTAAACTCTTAGTCCTTTCGTAGCATATTGCTTTCAAATTAAATGCACGCTCCTTAGGAATTTTAGGCATATAATTTTTCTAAATTCTCGTCTCTTTACTTTTATCATTCAATGAGTCCCTAATAGGGAAGGCAACTAAACTCAATCGTCTCCTTTTTGAAAAAATATAACTTTCTGTGTACAGACTTCTTTTTTAGCACTCCATTCTATTTTGATTCAATGAATCTTAATGTGGAACTATTTATGAAGCAAAATGACCCTGCTATGCTTGAGAACGAGAACAACTTTAAAAAATTTTCATTGTTTACCATGAGACGTTGGGCTTTCAACTATAAAATTTTATTAATGATACTGCGGATTACCACCATACATTTAGTTCGATTTAATCTGCTTAATATTATTATTCTTCAGGCATGTGTGTGGAGGCGATGTGCAATTTAGTATCGAAGCAGCCGTTATCAGTGATCAAGAACTGCCTTCGTTCGCTCAGCTATCTATTGGCCAAGCCCTGGCCACGAGCCGCACTTCTCAGAAACTCGCGACTAGCTGTTGAATTGCTGAATGTCATGCAGCGGTGAGCTCGAAATGTGAACTATTCATTGTAACCCCTTTTATAACTTAAATTTTAACTGAAACAGGTCAGAGCAAGATTATTTGTTGTGATTAATTTTAAATTGTTGATATAGAAATAAATATTCGTAAGTGAGTAGGGTTTCGAGACTACCAGTCCTTCATCACCTCAGACGAAATTGGGTGAATACATCTCATTAGAAATAAATAATTGTGATTTGATGAAAGTCACGAGAAGACTTGTTCAACTTGTTATTTTCGCGTGCATTATGGATAATATTATTGATATAAGTTTATGCTTATTATATAATGTAAACGGAGAGTAATTAATACATGACCTATTATGTTATAATTTTAGGACAATGCAGCATTAAGAGTGGGGTAGTGAGTTGTGCTGTGTTGTGCTGTGATGTGTGGAGTAGAGTGAGGTAATGTCTCTGACACTTTGTAGCTTGGTAATAAAAATTTCAAAACTCACTGAATACGCCCATTACGATGTCAATGAAGCATCTTGAAATGCATAAAGTCAACGGTCCGGCGCTGGTAGTTATAATCGCTAGTATTGCAGAGGGTTTCTGGCGCAGTTCTCTCGTCAACGTGACCA